TCTCACATTTCTTAAAGCTGTATTCTGCTGGAGACAATTAGATTTCTAACATTCTTTCCCTTTGTTTACCCTAAGATTTTCTTTAGATTTACACAATATTTTTTTGCAATGATATTACATTGCTGACTCATTCAGTTTGTCACTTGTAATAACCAACCACCCCTGACAGTATTATTGACTAGCATCCACTTTCATCACTTTATACTTGTGCTCTGGTTATCTGCCTCCCACATTAACCACTTGACAAGGTTGGGTTTTTTTTTATTGATGCTAGTTCACTTCTTCAATCATTTTATACCTTATTAATCATATTCTCTGTGTATGTGATACTTGTTTCATGCAAGTTCAGTGCTATTATCATGCCTACTTGTAAGCTGAAATATTCTTCTTCACTGCATTTAAGCATTTAAGACAGCCATTCATCAGCACCTCACTTATCCAGTAAAAAAAGAATCCAGTAAAAAAAAAAAAAAGAATCCCTACAAGAATATCCTCACACCCATTGAAATTGTAAGATTTTTTTGCAGGAAGGGAGAAGGTGGGGGAGGGGGGAGAGAAGTAGGAGGAATAGGGAAGGACTCAAAGACAAGGGTGTGACTTCTCTCATCATTTTTACCTGATTATTCCAAACTTCAAAAATAATAATTTTAATAATAATATTCTTATGTGTTGTATCTATGCCCACCTGAGTCTCTGGGAGGAAAAAGAGGATAGGGTTGATGGGACACACATATTTTTAAATTTAATTATAAAATTGAGATGAAGTATTCTTTACTAAGCAGTTCAGCAACAAAAGTACATAAATGCAAATAAGCAAAAACATCTGAACTCTGTTTTGCCTGACAAGTAGTTCAGTTTTCTAAACATGGGTACCTTGCTTTTATTTATTTCACTATTATTTTGGTGAGTTTATTCATGGTTGACTGCTCCTGTTTTTGACAGCCCAAGTCTGACCTTTCTTTGGAGTGTCCATTATCTTAGCAGGAAACATTCAAGGGTCTTCCATAGCTTCCCTCAGCAGAGGTGATGGTTTGCTTCTTTAGTTTAAGTGTTATTAGAACATAATCCAGGTTTTCCAACATCTAATAATCTAAATATGATTTTGGTATTCATCTGTGCTTCTAGAACTAGTAATTAAAACTGTCATTACATAGGAAGTTCACTTACGGAAAGAGCTGTTTAAAACAGCTATATCTTTTAAAAAGAAAAAAAGAAACACTTTACAAAATAAAAGTCAACACAAGATGGTTTTCGTTTTTTGAAAGTATTTGATTACTGTCAGTTTGCATGCTACAGCTTCAATTTTACAAAGACCTTTTAGTCACCTGTGCTTCAAGACTGGATTTGTCCCACTGACCACACAGGAAGCGAAAAGTGGTAGTGTGCTTTCATATTTAAATAAATTATTCAGTAGAAAAGAGTTTAGTTCAAAATGTTATTTGAGGAGATAAAGTTGGATTTTGTCTGTGACATCATTTAGACCCCCCGATAATTAGAATGGATTAGTCTCCATAAGGTACGTCTCCATAATCACTATATTGGATTTTTTAATATATATTTTTTTATTTATATTTATTTATATTTAATATATTTTTTAATATATTTTAATATAATGCCATTTAGGGCATTGTCCTCTGAATTCATCCAATAAATGCAGACTTTGAAGCTAGGTTATTATTTTCAATGTGTTTCAAAAAGCTTAGAGGCTGCAAGAAGAGTGAACATCTTGCTGAAATGATTGTAACGATTTTACTCCAGCACTTCAAAGCAAGACAGATTGCAAAGCCACTGATGTTGGGCTCTGAAAAATTATGTAAGTTAACAAATTGTTCTGATATAACTTGCTTCTATTTGAGCACACAAGTCTCTTAGCTAGCAAAATCTGCATTCAGTATTTAAGAGGGCAAAAAGGAGGCTGCAGAGAGAGATGGACAAAACTTTGGCATGAAAAAATGAGCGGACAATCGGTGAGGTTATTTCACTCAGGAAATGGGTTTATATTCAAGTGGGAAAAGGGAGTCGACTAGTATGTGTGATGCCTTTTCTGGGGAAGGTTTCCTAGTATGTATTGTCACCTTTGAATATGGAGGCGGTCAAATACCTGCCTACAAGCTTCCTTATCCACTATTTTCTAGCCCACGAATGGCTAGGAGAGAAAATAGTGCAGCGCGGTCCTAATGCTGCCACGTGCCAGGTGATTCGGTCGGAGAGGCCGGCGCAGGGCACCGCTGGCTCCACGCCGGGACCGCGCAGCGCCGAGCTCGGCCCGCCCCGCCGCCACTCCAGGCCCCCATCGCCCCCACGGCCACGCGCGGCGACGCATGACGCTCTGCAGACACCGAAGGGCTCCGGGCCGGACCACGGGAGGGCGCGATCGGCGGAGCCCCAGACCGCGCCAAGCAGCATCGCGCCGTTGTCCTGGCCGCGCCTCTCCGCGCCGCAGGGCGGCGGGTGCGGGGGAAGGGGCGCAGTGGCGGGGCCCTTGCGCGCCGCAAGATGGCCGAGCGCTGGCGCCACAATGCAGCAGCGCAGCCTCCCGCGCCGCTCCGCCTTGCTCGGCGGGCGAGTAGAGCGCCCTGGACGGGCGACTCTCGGAGCTCAGAGCTGTAGCCCCCGTACAGGGGAAGGGCAGTCCGGCAGCCAAGTTGCGGGGCAAGGCCGGAACGGAACCTGCGCCTGGCGCAGGCCGAGCCAACGCGAATCCCCCCCCACACACACACCTCCTCCATATCCCCGCACAGCCCCGCCATAGAGCCCCGCCATAGAGCCCCCGCGCTACGGAAAAGGCAAGATGGAGCCTCTCGGCGCGGATGCTGGAGGCGGCCGCACGCGGGAACGGCGGGCGGCGCTCCCCTCCCAGATCATGGCCGCAGCCGCCGTACCGCCGGTACCTGCGCAGGTGCGTAAGGCTCCGTGCCGGTGGGCCCTAGCGTCAGCTCCGTATTGGGACCGGGCTACTGTAGAAGGGGTTCCGTGGGGATGCGAGCGCTGCAACAGCCGGTACCGGGCTGCGCACCAGCCGCCACTCCGCGCTCTCCTCACTGTCTCCCTCTAGCTCCCACCGCTATTTAAGCAGCCGCAACCTCCGGCGGCCACGCCACATGGGCTGACAGTTTACTCCTTGGCGCAGTCCAATGAGAGCCGGGGCAGGGCCACCCGGAGCCGGCCCTGGGGTGATGCCAACCCCCTGCCCGCTGGAGCAGCTCCGCGAGAGGAGGGGACACGCACCCGGTGCTCGAGCCGGGGCGGACCCGGGCGCGCTCCCGCGGCACAGCGCCAGGTCCAGCGCCCCGCCCCCGAACCAGAGGCTGTGAGAGGCCGGGCCCGGCGGGCGGTGCCTTGCTTCGCTCCGGCCCGTAGCGGCCGCCGCCGGATCCCTCGTCACGGCCCCCGTGGCCGCCTCCTGCTGCGTGGGAACATCGTTAGAGAACTGATGCGATACCGCCGGCACCGCGGCCCAGCGAGGCGCGCGTACGTTGCCCGAGGTGCGCGAGCCGATCAGTACCCACGCGGACCCGCGCTGCACAAAGGAAGGGGCTCTCCCCACGGACGCTCAGTCACGGGCTGGTGCCCAATCCGGAGGTGGGGGCGTGTGGACGGGGGACGCCGGCTGGCCAATCGCGAGGCCCGTGTGGGTGTTGCTAAGCGATAAGGCGATGTGGTGAGCTCTGAGAGGCGGCTGCTGGGCTGCCGGCGAGCGAGCAGCACCCGCACGGCGTGCGGTCGTTCACCCCGGCGGAGCGCGGCGTAGGGGTTACCACAGGGCAGGCGAACACGCCGGCCGTGGACGCCTCGCCCCGTGCCCGGGCCCGCCGCTCCGGCGTGATTGGCGGCAGGGGCGGGGGCCGCGCGGGCTCCCTGCCACGGCGCGGAGGCCTGCATCTGCCCTTTCCTCTCTCTCCAGAGAGAAAGGGAAAGAGCACCATATAGGCTAGAGGTACCTCTTGCCTGTTCCCTCTGTAGCATGTACTACTTACATTTCAGCAAAACGAAGCAAGAAATTTATGCAAAACTTCGTTTTAAAGCTTTGTGTGTGTTACAGGACAGGACAGTTATCCCTCCTGTCTTTGTGCTAGTAAATTTAGGCCCAAGTGCCAGGATGCAGGGCATGTTTACATTTTGGCAGATGGGGTTTGAATAGAACTGCTGCCTTTATGCCTGTAAGCTAAATACCACTAACACCAACCAGCACTGCATCTTTGCTCTTCATTTCACATTTTGAGAGCTCTGTGCACAGCTGGGTTTTTTTTTTTTTTTAGAGGCTTGCTTTCTTCTGCAGTTGAGTGGCATTCCCAGTACTATCTCATCACTATTTTCTTTCCCACTTCCTTTTTAACAATTAATATCCTTTTTTTTTGAACATTTTGTTCATAAAAGGTGAATTTTCCCCCTGTGTTTAAAAAATAGAAAATCAACCTAGCCACTCCATACAAGATCCAAGCAACACATTTAGGTAAATCATTATTATGTGTGTTTTGTTAACCTTCAGCATACTTACTGTAAAACAAATGTACAATGATTTAACTATTTTTTTCTAAAACAAAAAAAGATTGAATCAAGAGCTGCCTTCATCTCTTACCGACGGCTGCCTTAAGGAAATGTGTTTCTCAGGGAAACTGAATAAATTAAAGTTGCCTTCCTGGCAAGAAATCTGCATGACCAGACATGCCAGCTGGAACACTAAAAAGCAAAACAGCTTCCCCTTCCCCTCCAAAAAAGCCCCAAAATCTAAAGAAAAGGTACTTCTGAAGTCTGTCCCTCAGGAGTTTATATCTATGATGTAAGAAGTACAAAGAAGCATTTTTCAAGCTCAAACACTCCGTACACAAATATTATGAAGATTATGATAGTACTGCACCTTTTCTAATCAGTTGATGCTGCTTTTAATGAAACAACTATAAACACACAGAATCTAATTGCACTACGCATCTCAACAGTTTACTAAAAACATAGAAACAGAAATAAAAATACAAGATAATCTGCAGTTAATATCAGCTTTGGTTTTTACAGATTGTGCTCCTGAAATACCCAATGAGAGCTGTAACTGTGCTGTGATCTCAGCCAAAATTCCTGTGCTTGTTAGAAACTACTATGCTTTGAGTTGCAGAAAGAGCTCATTCAGGGCCTGGTTCAAGGGAATGCATCATGTTGTTCTGGCTCATGAACAATGTCAAATGTTGAATGCAGTGATGGGACTTTCAGTAATAAAATGATTTAGAAAGAAGTTCGCAAGATCTCTCAGGCCTAATATTTATATGATAACATCCCAGTAAAATTTAATTGCAGATTTAAACATCTAATTATAATCCTATACGATCTTTATACTGAAGCAAAAGATTTTTAACAGGAAGTAGAAAAATTATTTTTCAGGTTATTCTCAAAACTAGCACTACCACATTGTTGGATGCTACGGTGACCAGCTGCTTGCAACTACTACCAGGGAAGGAATTATAAAAAGAAAAAGAAAAGTGCTGCAGAAAAGTGCAGGTGGGTGAGTAGCTCTCTTCCTTTCTTCTCTGTAGAACTACTCAGTTACTCAGCAGCAACAGAAAAACAGTTCACTGATGAGACTTGTTGTAAAGTTCAATACCGAAATATCTCACAACAGCACACCATTGTTAAAATTTGTTTAGAAGTCCCAACATGGTTCATAATTACATAAGTATCCCTCATTCCATCACAACACACTCAAATTTTCTTTGAGGTAGGGCCTTGACCTGTGCCCTAGAGAGTATGTTTAGCTCACATGAGTGGGCGTAGCAGAGGTGAGCATGTCAAGTGACACAAAGAATAGTTTCATCTGTTTCAAGACTTAATTATTACTGTACTTCCAAAATTCTAAAATAATGTATTCATTACTGCTTTCAATTTTGTAAAGCTCTTGTTAAAATCAGTATTTCCAGTGTGATGGTAGAATTTTGATTTTATACTCTTTCATGTTTTCATGAAAGAAACAGCATGGAAACAACTATAGAAGAAGCAATACAAATTCAGGTGTAATCTTTTCAATCCTCTTTCTTTTAAGTAGAAAGATAACTGCATAGTATTAACGGTTGCATTGTTAATTATAAGAAAACAAGAAGGTTGGGGCATCCCACTTCTAAGCTTGAAACACATCAACAGTTTCTCAACAAATATTTGCTAAAGAACTGCTAGCTTTGCCTAGAGGCAAAAGGATTTACATATGTATTAACTGGGCATTTCTAAATCCATGATGCAAGCAATATTTAACATATATAATTAAAATAAATCAGTTTTAATAGTGAGCATGATAAGATTATCATGTATGCAGATTAATCCTTGATTTCAGCTTGCAGCATGAAACAGGGTATTTGTTCTCTCTTTTGGCTTCAGACATCCCAACTTTACATACAAAAATGAATTCCAGAGTCAATAACTAAATCCTATTTATGGGTTTAAAAATGAATACCAAGTGTGGACATGAAATTTGCTGCCAAAAAAAAAAAGTCATTCTTTAATGTTGTAGTTGCGGATTTTTGCCATGTTGAAAGAGATTTTTGGCTTTATGGGATGAGCACAAGACAAATTTCTGGACTTTACTTTCTGTTGAACTTCCAGCTTGGCTCCTGTGACTGTCAAATACGTAGGTGGCATTTCAGCTTTATCCTTGGCTTTGATGTTTTGCTGAAATTCTTCAGGCATTTTGGTTGCATATATAACTTGAAACTCCACTCCTAAAAAAAAAAAAAAAAATCTAGTATTTATGCTTGTATTTAATCATTCTTTAATCATAAGACTGGATAATATTCAGTTTATGTTTTTCCTCTAACTATGCTGTCTTTGTAATATTATATTATAAAAACCTTATTTTGGGCAACTGAACCTTTTTGCCATAGTAAACACAAAGGCATAGAATTGTGCATTGATGCCTGTGAAGGTGATAGTAAATATACAATTCAATCCTTGCTTCATCTGTACCCCTTCATCCACAGTTAGCATCAGAGTGCTTAATAAAGGGGGAAGGAAGAGGAAAGAAGGTCTGGAAAACTTGTAATGGCCATTCAGTTCAAGCACCATTATCTGCTCATCTGTTTTTTAAGACCATATTTTACACATTCACTCTGCCTTCTGAGAGAATATCAATCAAAGCAATACCATCACTGGATAACATGATAGAGTTAGACATGTTTATTCCCACATTGTAAAATGGTGATAAATTAGTCATTAGTTGGCTGCAGCAGTGAGATCTTCTGTTTTAAAAATTCATCAGCAGCCATGGTAGCTGCACCAAAATGATTTAAGGAAAGCATGATCCAAAGGCCTCTAAGGTAGTTCTGGGGCCTTAACTGATCTTAACTGATCTGGAGCCTTAACTGATAATCTCTGCCAAAACATCTTGCTCCCAAGGAGGTATAAGAGAGAGATGACAAATCTCTTTCATTAACAGAATCCCCTTTTCATGGAACGGTATTTTATTTGTAAGATGTAATAACTATTTAAAAAAAAAAAAAAAAAAAAAAAAGAGAGAGAGAGAAAGCTTAAGGTTCATGTCCTGAAACTTCACCCTTACCCATCTGCAGGAATGAAAGATCCAGACTTGAGAAGACGTGGGAGGAAGAGGAAGAAGCATGGCCCTCCTCGGCTTCCCCAAAGTAAAATCCAACAAACCAACAAATAAAACTAACCCAATCTCACTACTAAAATTTTCACTTAGGATGGCTTATTAACTTCCTGTTGGGCTCTTCTTTCAGTTTCCTCTAAACTCATTCCAACTGTTACCTTTAGGGTACATTATCTACTATTGGCATGTGTGTTTCTTCCATCTTCTCTTACAGAGGAAGATGCATGCAATGGAATATTTTGTTATCTAGAATATTAGTCTATACTAGAGAAGACTGCCTGAAAAAGTAACTTCTTAGATTGGGAAGCAGGGAGATTAGTCTTAAAACTCACAGCATTTGATACTGCAGTGTCTGACATCATTCTCTGAAAACACTCTCTGCAACTAAATGAACTTTAATCTTATCACACATTTCATTAGGTAAGATAAGTGGAATTTGTCAATCATAGTATTCATTGTAAAAGAGTTGCACTAACTGTTGAGAATAGTTTTTTATCAAGGTAAGTTCTCACTGACAAAATGTGGTAGAAAGTCTGGAAAACAAACAACAATAAAGCCACATGCTTCTGTAGCATCACTCACAATTGAAATCAAAACTATTCTTGAATTATGGAATAAATGAATGGAGGTTTTATAGCTCTGTTCTAAACATGACACTGACTGTACACTTTTCAACATCATTCTCCTGTTCAGACTTAGTCTGAACCAGTTGTTCACCCATGTATGTGAAACCTCTGCAGTGGGTTATCTTGATAGCATTTGTTATTACAGGTGGTAAAGGCTCAGTGGAACCTTGGTCACTGTTATGCTATTGAAATGAGATCAAGCTGTTCAGCTTGCCACCTAGTGGTTACCTACGAATGCTTAAGAAATAAAAGAAAAATTAATGCTGAGGCCATGAAGACCTTTGCGTGCCTTTTCTTTCCAGGAGAAAGGATTTCAGTCATTACAGTGCATTACCTAGACCCTGTGACATCTGTCAGATGATCAAGTAGAATATCATGACAACATAAACATTTTAGAATAGTGTAGGAGGTTGTGTCTAAAATGACATGGATGCAGTTTCAAAGATTATTTTTTTTGAACGGGAACTGGCATCAGAGTAGACTCTCATTTTTGGTTCAATTAAGAGCAGTGAATTGAGGTCCATGAATAACATGGAGGCAGTGGTGCTTATTGAGAGCCTGCTCAGTTTTGAGGGGCCTTTTGAATTTGAGCATGAGAATGACATTTTAAAAAATGAGAGGTTCTAATTTTATAGGTCCAAAGTCAAAATAACCAAGTACTAACAGGCACTCATCACAGACTTTTACTCTGAAATATTTTATTTGTCCCTTTTGACTGCAATTATAACTAATAAGAGCTATAGGTTATTTAGGTGCTTGGAACATCATCACAAGTATACAAGCATTTTCTATGGATAAAGCTTTAGATTGTGTTAATATAGGCACTTAAAACAATGAAACTGCAAACAAGCAAGACTAATCCTCTAATACTGTGCCACAGAGAAAGATAAAGAACCCACAACATTAGAAATACTATATAAAACTGAAATATCCCAAGAGAACACTGAATAAAGACCTTTGTATGTTACTATATCTGCTTGGAACTGTTCACCTATACAAAGAACCAACAAACAAAAACGCTAATTTACAAAATTATTTACTTACTTTCAAGGCAACTTTGCTAATAAGAAAGAACTAATAAGACCATAGTTAAGAGCCTAAACTGCTTTTGAAAATGTGCCTAAGATTTTAGAGTACTGAAATGCTTAACTCATCCTCTATTTGACCTCTGCTGACCACTGTCAGATTAACAGATTAATTTATTCTTTTCCTGCAACTAAAGAAACAGATATGTTGTAGGAGCGAATTTTCCCCTAATTGAAGTCTTCATTTTAAAACTTGGTCCCCAGCTGTTTACTTAGGGCTATCCGCTCTTCTAAAGGAGCACCAAGCAAATGGTTCCTTTTCAGAAGAACATTTAAGTGTATACTATGCAACTAGGAGATTAGTTAATATTTGTAAAACACTTTCAAGATGAAAAGTTTTATTTAACATGGAAGAGAAATCATCAGTCCTTCTGTGACTGGTGCCAGAACGAAGCAGATCTCTTTCTGTTTGTTAATATTTCACCAGATTCTTTCTCTGGCTAGCTTTTTACCCACATGGATTGCTCTTAGAACTGTCAGTGATGTCAAAGCTTTTGAAATTCTGTCTAGTGTAGAAACATTTAAGATAACTTTTGATCCATAAAGTGTAGAATTTCAGACCACAGGCCTTAGCATGTAACAGTAATAATGAAAAATATAGTAAAAGAAACTCCTGTATCTAAATTCAAGTAGTAAACCAGGAAAGTTACTTTTCTTCAAAGCAGTTTAGTCTCTTTCCTCTTTATGTTACAACATAAACTTAACTTTAATAACCAAAGGACCACAGTGCTGAATAGACGTGGAGGTGGGATTTCTAAGAATGTATTTTGGGACTATCCACCTTAATTGGAGCCCTAGTCTGGCATGGAAAATAGGATTTTTTCATCTACTTCAAAAGTATATTTAGTTTCCTCCAAACAAGTGACGAACTGGGACATTCTTAGTGCAGTTATAGTTTGCCTAATGCTTTTATTCGCTCTGCACTGACCCTAGTCTCTGTTGACTGAAGGAAAGACAGCTCATCAGGAGCTTTTCACATGGTAACACAATGCAGTATTCATAGTATTGGCTTTAGTCCAAAGGTGATCTTACAGACAAATTTTTATACGTGATGTTTGCTTTCTTACCTTTATTATTATTATTATTATTACAAACAGAAAAACAAGAGCAAGTAAAAAGTTTATTAAACTAATCTTGGAGAAAAGTAAATTCTCATTTTCTAAAGGTTCTGCAAAAATTCCCTCCTATCCTCTAACATTTATTTCAAGATCTAAGAAAGACTGCTTAAACCACAAGTGAATAAAGAAATCTCGAAGCCTACACGGAAGCTAAGCTTGCTGTTAGAGAACTGCAGTGTTTTTTGGAGAAAATCATACAAGTACCCTAATGAGCAACTCTCCTTTGAGAGACCATCAACCAAAGTGTCCCACCTGCTCTCAAGCTGCAGCACAGGACACAGAAAGGATATACAGAAGTCTGTTCATTACCATGTAGTGCACTTTCTGTATGCAACACAACTCTGATTTTTTAGTATCAGCCTGGCTTGCACTCGTCTACTTCAGTTGCAGGATCTTTTCCTTTCCATAATACAGTACCATGAAAATCATCCATACAAGGGAACCTGTATTCTTTCTAAATCCTTTATTTCTACTTATCCCCTTATCTACTTACCTATTACTTTATTTTAATCTACCGCATTCCTACAGAACGAACTCTGTATCAATAGGTAGAGTAAGGAGAGAAAATTAAAATATTTCTGACTTGATTGAAAGCTTCCACAAATTTGGAATTTGATAGTGGGATGAACAAAGTATATAATGGTCCATTTCAGTGACCAGATGTTAACTTTAAGTCAAAAAAAACACCCCAAGACACACTGTCACAACAAATCATGTCATATGTTGGAAATACTGGAAATACAACAAGTAGTAGGGCTTGCTTGAAGTAGCTAAGCACTTTAAGTCCCAACTGGCTGTCCTGTGTAAGAAAAAGGGCTCAAATAAGCTATTCAACAGGTTCAGAAAATAATTCTCATGCTATATCTTGTTTCACCAGAAATGCCCATAAAACATTGCTACTTGTGTGAAAGATTTGTGTAGAGCTGAACACATAAAAGAAATGCTTGAATAAGCAATCTAACTTATTTGTATTCTACATCACCATTTGTTACTGAGTTTTCAATTCAGTGCCCAACACTTCTGTTTCAAAGCCCTGCAGCCAAAGAGTCTTAATGATAGTTCTCTCCACTGTAACCATGTCTATCAACTTTGTTTGAATTAATTTTCCATAGCTCAGGCACCAAAAAACAAAAAGGAAAACAAGCCTCTGCTAAAATCAGAAGCAGAACTTGGAAGTTTTATATACTGTTCTCTGAAAACAAGGTCATAGGTTTGCAGAAAAGGAAGATTTTCATTTTATAATGTTGTTTTCTAAAATTTAGAAAAATAACTGACAATCTAGTAGAATTAAGAATACCATTTAGATTGTTTCCTGGAGAAGAGAGGTAAGCAACATGAATGAATTTTTAAAAGTTACATTCCTGCAGTGCAGTATTTCAGGGCCTACACGCAATGAGTGAAGAATTCTTCTCTCAAGTGTTTTTAGGGTGAAACTGTACACACTGAATGAATTAAAGCTGTAGTCAGGAAATGTCATCCCTTAATATTGTTTCTCTTGTTTAATGTCATCAGTAACCTCTTTTTTTGCTATTCTCTGGACACCCCAAATTCTCACAGTAAGTTTTGCAACTGTGGCTGGAAATTTCTACACATTAAGAAACTGATGTCCTTGTAAGGCTGCCAGTGGTGTTGCATCATACATATACCAGCATGAAATTGCATGACATTATCAGAAATATTTCAAAGACTTCCTTTTGCTTATCCTGTCAATATAGGCCTGACCTGAAATACTCTTCTTAGTTCAGTCCCAGCCCCACAAAAAAGCACATGAATCATGACCATCACAACCACTTTCATTGCAGTCCTACAAATCTGCCAATGCATATTAGCTTTTCCATGCAGTACACTGCCATTGTGAATAATTACACTTAAAACCCATTTTTTGACTTTGAAAGCCCATTTAGATATCAATTAGTTTTGATCTTGTGTGCTACTGAAGAAGATTCATTGCACCTATACCCTGGCTGAATAATGGAAGGTAACATAGATCGGGAGAAATCTCTGGAGATCTGTAATTCAACCTCTTCACCAGAGCAGAGTTAACTTCAAAGCTATGTGAGATTATCCAGATCTCTGCCCAGCTGAGTTCTGAGGAAGAAGATTCCATAGCTGTTCTGGACAAAATGTCACACTACTTATTCCACTCTAGTCAGAGCAATCAGGTGATCCCTAGACCCTCTCTTTTCCATGTTGAAATGCCCACTCTTCTAAACCTCATCTTTTATATCATGTGCCTCAGCCCCTTAACCATCTTAGTGACACTCAATTGGACTCACTCCAGTTTGCCAGTCTCTATCTGTCATACTAGAGGGTCTAAAACCAGACTTGGTAATCCACTTGTGGCCTCAAGTGCCAAAGAGAGGGGAATAATCACTTCCTTTATCTAGCTGGCTACATTGTTGCTTAGGCCAGTAAGCAGTTAGCATTCAGAACTGCTCAAGAATATTTGTATGATAACAAGCAACTACAAATAGAAAGCAAACCCAAAGACTATTGTATGGCTCTCATCATATTAATCCACAACTATCACCACATCTCAGAAATAGTAATTGTAATAGTAAGGCCAAACCTAAACAGCCCCTCACAAGTCCCATAGCATTCTTCCTGGTAGTGGCCAGTGATGGGACAAGGGGTAATGGCTACAAATTGAAACACAGGAAGTTTCATTTCCATATGAAGAAGAACTTCTTGAATGTTAGGGTGACAGTGCACTGGAACAGGCTGCCCAGAGAGGTTGTGGAGTCTCCTTCTTTGGAGATAATTCAAAACCTGTTAGGATAGGACTGTGTGCAACAAGCTCTATGTGACCCTGCCTATGCAGGAAAGGTTGGACTAGGTGATCTCTATAGGTCCCTTCCAACTTCAATCATTCTGTGATTCTAAGAAATAATTAATATATGTTTATCTCTTCTAATCCAAAAGAAACAAACAACTCAAGTTTACTTGGAATATTCTAGAGAAATGTGTGTCTGTAAAGACCTTCAATATAAAAGACTCTATGACCCTCCTCGCTAACAGTCCAGTAGCAGCCACTCTTACAGTTTTTCCATTATCATGGGCTAAGGGCCATTACTTTTCTTCCTATCCACTAAGATGTAAGAACAGTTTTGCCAATGAAGGATTACTTAATGAACAGAGCAACAGCTTGAGAACCAAAACACTCTTTCGAAATACAGAGCTCAAGATAATGACTAATATTAGAAAGTTCACTTACATTTTACATATGAAGAAGCTACACTTTGGAGCTACCAAAATACACTTTTGGAGCAGTGTATTCCATTACTCTCTGCAACATGTTTTGTCCTCCTATATCCCAACTAAGTAATCACTATTCCTTCAACCATTTTAAAAATAATGATTTCCGGATATCTACTCATTCTTGTTTCTCTCCTATTGGCCCACATTGTTCAAGCACAGTGCCCCCAAATGGGACTTCCAGCAGATATCTCAATAGAACTAAGTAAAATGGAAAAATTACTGTGTTTTATAAATGATACTCCTGCTAAAAGCTCCAAGTATTTTTTTTTTATGTCCCAACTTGTTGCACTGTATTTTGAAAACTTAGTGAAGTACAAACCTCAGCTCACTGCGTGACTATGACAAGTACACCATTCCCATGGTCTCGCTTTGGGCCTTTAGGTCTTAGTACATTGAGTAATATTGTGGCTAGAAAACTGCCACAAAAATTAACCAGTAAGGAAAGACCTGTCACGCACATGGCAGGACATGAACTACATAATTCTCAGAGAGACACTTGAATATCTTCTCCCAAATAAAGTAATAAAGTTTGGTCTATATCCAGATTTGACTTTTCCCCTCCCTCCCTCTCTCTCTCCCTCCCTCCCTTCCTCTTTCTTTCCTTTCTTTCTTTCCTTCCTTCCTTCCTTTCCTTCCTTCCTTCCTTTCCTTCCCCTTCCTTCCTTCCCCTTCCTTCCCCTTCCTTCCCCTTCCTTCCTTCCTTCCTTCCTTCCTTCCTTCCTTCCTTCCTTCCTCCCTCCCTCCCTCCCTCCCAGGATGGAAAGTGTTTTAAATGATCGCATTAATATCAGAGAGATATGTTGGCGTTCCTCTTAATTTCTGGATATTTCTGCTGGCAAGAGTAAGAGTACCTTAAATGGCTCATAGATCTTCAGATGGTGATTGCAGCACTATAACATTAGTAGCACTCAGAAGTTAGTGGAAGGGGGCAGGACCCACTACTGTACTTGCATGCTTCTAGAAGAGTCAAATATCATGATTACTTTGCAAAGTATGCTTACCTTGGCCAGAGTTGTTTTGAGGACTGAGAACAGAAGGACTTGATCTTGTTTCTAAAGCGTGCCAAGTATCTTGGCAGGAACTACGTGTTCTAGATGAAGAAAGCCAGACCTGCTGGGCTTGACTAGGACTCTCCCCGAGTGGCTGACTTTCAACGAGCGCTGAGGAGGTACATGCCTTTTGTTGTGCTGCCCCACAATTTTCAATAACGGAATCTAGCTGAATCTGTAAAATTCAAAGACAATCTGACAAAGATATACCCTCTTCATATCAGTGGGATCCTTGCCTTAAAAAGAAATAGAGGTCTCAGCCCCTTAGAGGTGAGCAGAAGCAGAAAGACATTACTTCTAATTTTGCATGTAAGAATATATGTCTTCCAGAAAATTAGTTTTGAGCAACTATAACTGCTCAAAACTCAGTGCTCAGTATGCAACTGAGGACAAGTCTGATGATACAATTGCACTGTAGCTCAGTGGATAGCAAATCTATTACTTCTCTTGCCTCCCTTCCGCTGTTTCCCTACCACCGCTTCATTTAAACTAGGGCAAGCATGTAGAGAATAGAGCCTTGAGAGATGCTATTGCTTTACATAATGCTGGCCAATATATGAAATATAACATTAACACAAATAACTCACAGCCTCTAAAAATACTACATTTATAGATCAGTGTGCTGCTACACTATTAAAAATAATCTAAATAATATTAAATCAAATTATGTTCTATTTGGTTCAATAGGGCTCAATCTTCCCTCCTAATAATTTCTTATTAAATCTTTTCATTAAATTTTATTGCTATTATTTTCATTGCGTTTGTTATTCAAGCTTATGTTCACAGGGATATTCTTCCCTTTCATTTTTTCCCCATGATCATATTACAGAAGAAAACACGTGGAGAAGTGTTTAAAGAAAAAGACATTAGTTAAAAAAAAAAAACCACATAATATTGTGGGTTTTCAACATGTAAAAAATAACATGAGATTTGATGAAAGGTTAACTGCTTCAGCCCTGTCAAAGGAGATTAAAATATACATTAAAAATCTTTAGCCTTGCACTAAAGAAACAAGACATGAATCCATCACAAAGTAACTGAGATTTAGTATTACCAGACAGAGGTCTTTTTATATAAACAGAAGAACATTGAACTTCAGCCTCTTACATATTCTTAGATCAACCCTAATAAGCCACACAAAAAAAAAAAAAAGAAAAAAAAAGAAAAAAAAA